GTAGCTCTACCACCATTGGATCATCAATCAGAGGGAACTGAACCCCCCGCAACCCAGAGGATCACCCCTGCCTCATTAAGGATAACCATCCCTCCCGCAGAGTGAGACCCCCTTCGAACTGCCCCATCCCACCGACACACAGGCCCCCTTGACCCACCCAAGTCCACCATAGGAGTCATATGAGTAGCCAGAGGGAGGAAATGTATGCCGAGGCAATCCTTCACCAAGATAATCTAAACCATACTAGGTCCACAACGCCCTGGCCACTGGACAGTCAAGGAACAAATGTTCCATTGTCTCCAATGTAGCCCAGCAAACATGACAACGAGGTAGGACCACCACTTTCCACTCAATAAGCGCCTCATTCGTCGGCAGAATTCTATTCAAGATTTTCCAGGCAAACACCTTCAACTTTGGAGGAATGTTAGCCTCCCACAACCAGATCCAACTAGGCTTATCCATCCTGCTAGCCTACGCCCGCCATCGTCCATTCTGTTGATCAAGGCAAACCGCGAAGTGGTAAGCCGGCTTGACAGTAAAAATACCATCCGCGGTGGCATGCCAGACCAGACGATCCTCGTTATTTTTCCTTGGGAGGGGCATAGCCTTAATTGCCTGGCATGTTGGGGGGTCAAACCACTAACTAAGTTTATTCTCATACCATCACCCTTCTCCTGGGCAGAGAACTGCAGAGACCGTCACATCCCCTTCCTCGGGCATGACTCATGGGTTATACACTGGGGGGTGGGGGGGGGGGGGGGGGGAAGCATGCTGCTGCGTGGTCCAGTTTGAATTAAGCAAAGGGGCCGTCTGGCCATTACCAATATTCCATCATAACCCCTTAGTTAACAACTGGCGCCCAAAAAGTATGCTCTTCCTTCCCCAAGACGGACGGGACTGAGCCGTATCCGGGAGGAAAGATCCCTGCGGAAAGTACTTCCTTTTATAAACTTGGGCGAGGAGGGACTAGTGTTCATTCAGGATTCACCATCCTATTTTCGGCAATAAAGCTTGATTAAACTGTTCGAACTGACAAAAATCCATCACCCCTCATGTTTACTTCTCCACAGATTTCGCCAGGAGACCCAATGAATCCTGGAGTGTCCGTCCTCTACCCCCCCCCCCCCCCACCAAAATCTAGCTACATGCTTATCCAGGAGGCGACAAAGAGACTGAGGAAGGCGAAAGCAGGACATCACGTGGAGCGGCAGAGCTAAAGCAATAGATTTAATCAGGGTTTCTTTAGCTTCCCAATACAAAGTCCTTCGTTTCAATCCTTGTAAACGTTCTAAAAGCTTCTCCGCTGCGGAAAGAGAAGGAGAGGAAAAAATCAGATGCAAGGCAAAATCTCTGACAACCAAGCAGAAGCAAGGTCTTTATCAATCTTGGAGTGAGCCGAAAGCCAGCTAATAACAACTCGAACAACCTTCAGAGCGATCACTTTGGGCGAACACTGCAAGTTCTTGAAGACCCTTTGATTACGTTGGAGCCAGACAAGCCAAAAGATAGCATGGAGGATGCAAAGGTTGAACCAGTCGTCGATGTTGTTGGGAGCTGCAGCAGATTGATCTCTAAGCATGGTAGTGATATCACCTTCCAAAGTGCCAATTGAACCTTTTGCTCTCTTGATGCGACCCCACACTTCTTGGATGAAATCACAACTGATGAAAAGATGCTCCACATTCTCTTCATTGTTGCAGCAAAGAGAACAGCGGTTGGCAAGGGCCACACCTCTTCCTTTCAATCTGTCCAGAGTAGAGATTTTTTTGTGCCAAAGTGTCCAACAGAAAAAACAGATTTTACTCGGAATAAACGGCTTCCAAATAGAAGAAGCTTCAAAATTCTGCAGACCAGGGAAGTTCTCACGGATCAATTGTCTGTAAGTAGAGTTAACTGAGAAAGAACCATCCTGCTTAGGTGACCAAAAAATCCTGCAAGGACTGTTAGCAAAGAGATGCAAATTCCTGTTGTTTAAAAGATTAAAAAGGCTCTCTCGCTCTCTATCCGCTCCACCTCTCAATGAAAAACGTAAAACAATGTTCCAATTTACCTCACAGTTCGAGAAGGAGACCACATCAGCGATCCGAGCAGCAGGAAAAGAGGCAGCAGCAGCCACTCTAGGGAAATCGACAGCAAGAAGGGAGTTTGAAGTCCATTTATCAAACCAGAAAGACACATGACCTCCTCCACCAGGATCAATTTGAGCAAATTTCCAGAACACAGGATATTCCTTCGCTATATTGGCCCAAACAGAGCTTGAGAAACCAGAATTAATATAAGATGTCCGCCACGATGAGAGGTTATTATGGTATTTGATGTTGATCAAAGTTCTCCACCAGCTGTTAATTTCAACTGCAAACTTCCACAACCATTTAACAAGAAGAGCAGAATTAAATAAGGCGAGGTCACATAGTCCAAGACCTCCTTTAGATCTTGGGGTTTTGCAAAGTTTCCAGCTAATAAGATGAGGTTTTCGCGATTCACCAACCCCGTTCCAAATGAAGTTTCTCTGAATAGTCTCAAGGTCTTCAATAACTGTCTTAGGAGCTTTAAGAAGAGAAAAGTAATAGACAGGTAAGCTCGTAAGGACAGCCTTATTAAGAACCATTCTACCCCCAGATGAAAGGTATTTGCCTTTCCAACCGTCTAATCTTTTCCTGAAATTAGCAATTATTGGATCCCAAGTCGAGACCGCATTAGGCTTTGCGCCAAGAGGATAACCAAGGTATTTGGGTGGGCTGCTACTCCATTTACACCCGAAAATGCCAGCATAGAAACTCGGTTCAGGAACATCGCCCACAGTGTACATAACGGATTTGTCGAGATTGACCTTAAGCCCTGTAACCGCTTGGAAACACACCAGAGTAGCCAGAATGTTAATAACCTGCTCATGGGAGACATCACAGAAGATGAGGGTGTCATCAGCGAAAAGAAGATGGGTGACTTCTCCTTGCTGTTGATTCTCATTCATGAAAAAACCATTAATCTTGCCAGCACCTTTCAGTTTAGAAATCATAAATGATAGAATGTCCATGACCAAGATGAAGAGGGCCGAGGAGATGGGGTCTCCCTGACGAAGTCCCTTCGAGGTAGGGAAATAACCATGAGCTTCTCCATTAACCAACACCGAAATGAAGGGGCTGCACACTGACGTTTGAATCCAAGAGATCCATACTTCAGGAAAACCAAAACTTCTCAGAATTCGGAACAGACACATCCAGTTAACATTGTCATAAGCTTTCTCGATGTCGAGTTTGAACATGAGTCCCGGTTTTCTGCTTCTTCTCCTGCTATCTACTAATTCATTGGCAATGAGGCCTGCTTCAGCAATTTGTCTCCCCTTAACAACAGCTTGTTGAGAAACCGATACTAAATCAGGAAGAAGATCACTAAGTCGTCTTGAGAGAACCTTATTAATAAGCTTGTTGAAGCTTCCCAAGAGGCCTATGGGTCTTAGGTCCCTCACATCCTCCACTGCATCCCTTTTCGGGACAAGGCAAATAAAGGAATGAGTGGCAGACCTTGGGAGACGTCTCGCGGAATGGAAATCCATGAAAGCGTTAAGAATGTCCGCCTTTAACTGATTCCAGCATCTCTTATAAAAGTCATAGTTGAAACCATCAGGGCCTGGGGCTTTACAACCGTCACAATCAGTCAACGCCTCCCAGATTTCATTCTCATCAAAGGGGCGACATAGGCTTAAGCAATCAGAATCCTTGAGTTTGCGATCGAAGTACGAGATGGGGAAAGGTCGACGGGGTAAGTATTCTATGAATAGGTCCTTATAGAAATTCAGAATTCCAACAGCCACTTCTTGACAGCCTTCCAACATGTTGCCATGGACTTTGATGCGATCAATATGGTTGAGCTTCCTCCTGTAATTAGCAATACGATGAAAGTAGTTTGTGTTGTTATCACCTTTATGCAGCCAAGTTTCCCTAGATTTCTGCCTCCAACAAATCTCCTGCATATTGAGAGCATGGGAGAGTTCAATTTTCAAAACACTTCTCTCTATGAATTTATCAGCTTCAATAGTTCTAGTTTCTTCAGCCTCGTCGATTCCGTGGATCTTGCTCAGTAAGTCCTCCACTCTCTTGTGAATGTTACCAAAAACTTCTTTATTCCATATTTTGAGTCTCTGTTTGATGACCTGCAGTCTCTTGCACCACAAGAACGAACCTCCTTATCCTTGAATAGGAACCAGCATACAATTGATAAGTTCATCAAAAAAACGCTTGTCTTCGAGCCACATACTCTCAAAGCGCCAGGGCCTTTTGACCCTTCTGTCAGCACCCCATTTGAGAAGAAGGGGATTGTGATCCGATTCGACTCTTTCAAGTGCTGTGAGAGAACAATCCGGGAACGCGCAATCAAACTCAGGGGAAACAAAAACTCTGTCGATGCGAGATAAGGAAGGAGTATCAGAACCTCTGCTCCACGTAAAATGACTTCCTCTAAGGGGAAGCTCAAGAAGAAAGTTATGTTCGATGAAACTATTGAACTCATTCATAAGATCAGAATCTCTTCTAGGCCCAATATAATCATCATGGAATCGGACGAGATTAAAGTCTCCACCAAAACAGATTAGGGAGTTAATACGTTGGCAGAGCTGGTGGAGTTCGTTTATAAAAGCAATTTTATCCACTTTGTCCTGCGGGCCATAGACAGAGATAAGATGCCATGAAATAGGGGAAGCTAAGTCCAAGAATTCCAGAATCATGAACCAGTTGCCTTCGCTAGATGATAGTAGTTGAACAGCCTGTTTATCCCAGAAAACAATAATGCCCCCTGAACTTCCATTGGCATTCTTAGCAATCCATCCCATATCTCTTCTTCCACTTATACTAGTAACCAAATAATCGTTGCAATCTGCCCATTTCGTTTCCAGAAGAGAGACAATTTGAGGATTGTGCTTCGAGATTAACCGTTTTATTCTGCCTCTTTTCCGGTAATCACCCAAACCTCTAACGTTCCAAAAATAAACTGATAAACCCATAACATTACTGATGATATACTCCAGCTAACCTGCTAGCACTCTTCCTTGGACCTTTAGGAGGAGATGATTGAGGTCCAAGTCTGTGAATTTCCATTTCAAGTCTAGACCGTGGAGTTCTGACTTTCTTGCTGTGTACTTCTTTAGCATTTTCCGTTATCACCTTTTCAACAGAATCCATTCCTTCGTCATGACCCAGCGAGAAGATATGACCCAGATTCACACTTGACTCGACCAGGGATAAGAGATCGAAAGGATAAGCTTCAAAGTTCCAATTGACATCCTCAGTTGCTTGAGAGCATGAAGGTGAGGGGAGCTCTTCAAAATCCGTGTAGATAGATGGAGCTTGGAGATCAGCCGATTCAGGGATTTGAGATGCGAGGAAGAGGTCGGTATCAGAGGAAGTATGCGAGGTCAGGGATGAAGGTTCAGGGGAGGCTGGAAATGAAGGGGAATCAAGGAGAATAGGGGGAGGAGAAATGGTTCGGGGGAAAAGACGGAGGGGAAGTTCTAATGGAGGTCGTGGGTTGCTTATGAAGAGGTCTTGGTTGGAGAGAGTGAGGATCAGAATAAATGAGGAAAAAGTGGATTGGGTTACAGTAAACATAAAAGGAAAAGGGAGAAGAGATTGAAGAGGATTGGGAAAAGACAAGGCTTCTAAGAAGAAAAGAAATGCTGCGGAAGGCTGGGCCGGGTCTAGAAGGGTCTGGATTTGGATGGGAGAGGATTGGGTCAAGTGGAATTGGGTCAGAGGAAGTTGGGCTTGAGGCACTTGGGTCAGGGGGGATTGGGCTTGAGATGAGGGGGTTAAGTCAAAGGATGAGAAGACATCAGGAGGGTTTGCGGGTGAGGTGGCTGAGGGTTTGATCCAAATAGGGCCTTCTTTCCGGACCCACACTCTTCTGACAGACCTGCGTGACCATACGCCTTCACCCTTGTTTTCCTCGGAATCAGATTGGGAGGCGTTGACCAATGGAAGGTCCGGATTGGATTGGCGTGAAATGCTATCCGAGAAACGATGTGGCAGAACAGGAGATCGGCTCTTCGACTTCTGAACCGCCTGAGAAAAACCATTTGCTTTGTCGGCAGCATCATAGGTTGCCGGCGGAGGTATGATGTTGATCATGAATTGATCAGATGCATATCGGACAGGAATTGAAAGAGGAATATCCCTTTTGCACATTATCCTGATCCGAACGAATTCCAAGCTCCAAGATGACCAATCGATTTCGATGAAAGACCCACAGAAGTTACCTATAGATTTCAGGAGATTGATGCTTTTGAGATGCAAAGGAATGCCGTAAACGAGAATCCACTTATCCGAATTGCTGTACTTCTCCTCATGATCTTTCCATTCAGAGACAGTGACTAAGAAATCTTTGAACTTGAGTTGGCCTAACCTCTTAATGCGAAGCGCTTGATCGATGCTTGGGCAGATGAGAATCCAGCTCCCGTTCCCCCTGTTTTCCATGCTGTAATTATCATCAATTGACCATCTCCTGTGAGCCCATTCTCTAAAGCTATGAATATAATCAGCTGTGAAAAACTCTGAAGCTTTGAGGCTCTGGAAGTTGATGAAGAGACTTCTACCCAATAAATCCCGCCTTTCTTGCACTCCATCAGAATCAACCTCAATATGTTTATCTTTGCCCTGTCCGACGATTTTACACTTTCCTGCTGCATAGAAACCAGAACCTTTGACCACATCAGCATAAGATCTTCTCGAAAACGACGGAGCGGATTGACAGGGAGGTGGAGGCAGATTGTGTAGGCTGATATTGTAAGAGGATTTGAGGCGATTCTGAAGTTCGGAAGCGTAAAAACGTTGAAGAAGGTTAATGAGTTTGGCCCATCCACCATCAGAAGGTATTAAAATTTTATAGACTTTTCCGCTTCTTCTTTGTTCTGAAATTTGAAGATACTGAGAACCACGGTTGGATGATATACCGACATGAATGATTCGGCCTCTACTCTTCAATAGGGACTTACGAGGGAAATACCAATTCCTCATAGCAGCCGATTGGAGAAGGCCTTGAAGCCAAGAAATTTGTTGTTCGTCCACAAAGATGAACCAAGTTTTCAGAGAGTCCTGAGCCTGAAGTCGATAAAAATTCTCGTGTATACTCCTGTTAGACTTGGAAACAGAGATGACTTTCGGACCAAAAACCTCTTTCTGTGTACAACTTTCCTTCGATTCATTGCTGCTGCCGATTCCTGCTGCATCAGACCTGCAAAACAAAAAACGTTTGGTCTCCTCTCCACTCGAAGATCCTCTCAGCACTCTCTCTCTCATCTCTCTCTTGTTGGAAATTTTTTCTTCTTCCCCAAGGGGGCTGCAAGCACCCCATGTTTGTGAGTGGGTCCGCCACTGGTTGACAGCTATTACATTACTTTGATTTGTTCGAAAACCTACATTTCTTTTCATTTTTTCCAAAGGTCCATGTCCAATTAATTGAGATCCAACTTTGAGTTCCATATTTACAATAAACTCCCTATATAGGAGGCAATTGTACATGGCCAAAACAACAGAATATCAGTGCAATTGTACGTGGCCAAAACAACATCTATAGGGCCGAAGGAGTGGTGCACATGGATATTTCTTCATCCTTTCTTCTATAGTTGCTGCAATCTTGCTGTTTGTAGGTTGTTGCTATTCCTTGTTGTTTCCTTGATTAACACATTTGTCTCATCATTACAAGAAAGAGTAAGAAAAATCATCAATTATGTCAAGACAAGGTTGTGAACAGTAATTAGTTTATCCCATTGATAATTAACACTTCTACAATGAAAAGTTCACTCTAAAATTAGTTTTCATCTTCTCGCTATGTCAGTTCTTCTTTCTGCATCATCATCATATAAAAAATGAGAGTTTCATGAACGAGAGAATAAAATCAAGTGAAAAGTACTACAATAATGTGATAAAGAGTAGGTTTACATACATGCATATGGAGGGTGGGACTGATCGAGATGGAAATGGCACAAAGACAATGAAGAAAGTCACAAACAAGAAGGTTCCAAACGATCCCTAGAGAAGGACGGTTACCACTTCACCTCTTCACTTCACTTCAGTTCGAGAAGAAGAAGAAGATGGGGGGGGGGGGGGAAGGAGAAGGAAGCTGCAGTTTGGATGCATGTCCTAGTCAGCCGCACGTGTGCAGCAGCTTAGATTGGTCGGTTGGTTTGGTACTTTGCTTGGTAGTTGGTAGGTACCATTCTCGACTTGAAGCTTTTCTCAGTGGCACGTGTGTACCCAATGTACAAGTGACCCTCTCATCCTCCAAAATAATTGCATCCACTACCACTACAATGTGGGACTTGAGTACACACTGGGACAATGTGATCAGATAGATAGCTAAATGTCATCACAGATTTGGTAACAATAACTTTAATAAAACCGTTAATCTGTCTGATTTATATAGAGTTGCGATATATTTGTTAAGAACCAATTACGAATTTTAGTTGTTAACAAATGTTTAATAATGAATAATGTATTATTATCATTGTAGATAATTTAAGACTTTGATACTATTACGAATTTGGTTTGAATCTTACTATACTATTTACTCACTATTTGGTTATAGATGATCTAGCTAACAAGTCACAAAATGTTATATGGAAAAAATTGAGTAACTATTTTTATTTGAATTACTTTGTTTAGTTAGAGTATTTTGTTATAAACTCATGATAAAGGTATTGTTATGTGTGACCTTTTTCTTCTCTTCCAAATCTATAATTAAAGGGTTTTTTTCTTTTAACGAAGCAGGGGGTTTCAATATGCCAGCATGCTAGAAGGAGCATGAAAAATATGGACACCAAAAGCCGCTGAATGGCCGAAGGAGCCAAGGCCGTCTGCAATATTGTTGCCTTCCCGATACACATGCTCTATCCGAACATGTCAAGGTCTATCCGCTCGTCTCCGAATCTCGACAATTCACACAAAATGAGGGTGGCGATGAGTAGCAGTCTCAATGAGAGTCATCGCAGTGAGCTAGTCGGTAGAATAACTTTCCTAATTTCCAGACAAATTTCAACTCATGCACAATTCAGTGAACTCATTACGGGTAATGGAACTCTCTTTAAACGCTCCGTTAGTTGACCCAAAAAAGGTTTTTTCTATTTTGAAGTATTTATAGTTACCTTCTATAAAACAAATAGCAAACCTAGTGATATTTTTTTATTATTAATAATAGAAAAAAGAAAGGGATGAGGATGGCGATGAGTAGCAGTCTCAATGAGAGTCATCGTAGTGAGCCAGTCGGTAGAATAACTTTCCTAATTTCCAGACAAATTTCAACTCATGCACAATTTCAGTGAACTCATTACGGGTAATGGAACTCTCTTTAAACGCTCCGTTAGTTGACCCAAAAAAGGTTTTTTTCTATTTTGAAGTATTTATAGTTACCTTCTATAAAACAAATAGCAAACCTAGTGATATTTTTTTATTATTAATAATAGAAAAAAGAAAGGGCCCAACCGGGTTCGAACCGATGACCTCTTGATCTGCAGTCAAATGCTCTACCACTGAGCTATGGACCCTTTGATAAAAATATTTGTATTTATTTACTTCTATCTGTACAAATTGTTTTTTTTTACTTAGATAATGATTCAAATTATTTTTTTTTTATAATTGAAGTGTAACCGTTAAAGGGAATTGCACACAACGTATCAATGAGATTTACAAAGAATGGAAAAGTGCTACTAAGTAGAGAAGAACGAAGAACGTACTAGAGTTTTAGAACCTCTCAACCAATTGCAGTTTATGAACTACAAACTGTAGGTTGTCGAATAAAACATCGATCTCAAACCGATGTGTTCTATGTAAGCCGAGAGATCATTATTCATTAGTGGCAGAGCTAAGTTAATGGTAGGGGAGGCTATTGCCCCCTTTACTCTCAAAATCATGTAATTTAATTTTTTTATAATAAATTGACACAATATAGTGGTTGATAAGGCATTAGCCCCCCTCACCAATTCAAATTCTTTGTGCACATATTTTTAGCCATCTATTCGAATTTATGGCTTCGCTACTGAAAATCATCATTCCTCTTGCTTGCAAATTGTATATGGTTTCAATGCAATTATTCAGAGTAACTTGCCTCAAGTTAGTTAGGTCAAGTGCTCGTAAACGAAGGGTGAATTTTGTGGTTTGCTGGTAGGAGTCCATCCAGCCAGGAGTTGGTTAGGCAGTCGACATTCCCAAGTGACCCGTCGAAAGCAATTTTTGGGAGATAATAAATGACGAATTTGGCCTCTAATGCTATAATTTCGCGTCGAAGAAAGTGGTAGGAGGGTGCTTTTAATCTCTAAATATTACTTCAATTAATCAATCAATCCAACCAACTAATTAATAAGTTTTCTGTTTGGTTTTCCAATAATATTGTATTACTAAAGGGATTAGCTTTAAGTAATCGACGTCTTATGACCTTGATTTGGACTCTTAAGACTAGACTAGTTTCCTAATCTCTATTATGATCGGTCACTATATTACTTTTGGATTTTGCTACGGTGACATGCATGTCACCGTGACATGGACTTTTCGGTCGACCTAATCTACAAGGCGGTCGATCGAATTGACAAATTCAGTTATGTGAGGTTCAGAGACGCGGTCAACCGTCTACATAAAATGGTCGACCTCTTTGGTGGTATAACGAAATGAAAGGTCGACCCAAATACCTCATAGGCCGACCCTTGTGCACCTATCAGGTCGACATCATTAGTAAGAGGCCGATCGCATGCACACCGTATCCGTATTGGATAAGGATTCCAACAGTAGAAAGGTTCCACAATTGGACAAGAAAACGAATTGGGTCGACCCATTCACGTCCTAAATCTCTATAAATACGAATATAAATCCTCTTCAACGCCACCAAAAGTGTGAATTAGGTTTTTTTCGATTTAGAGCATTTGTGAAGAAGATTGTTCGCGGTTGCTGTTATACGTGTTGAAAGTGGTCGACCACGTCTAAGGTGAGGTCGACCTAATGTAGCATTTGCCGTCATCTTCTCTAATGCGTGATTTCCACTGTCTAATTTGATATATTGTTGCGTGCAGAATAACATTCGGTCGACCTTGACCTCAACCAGGTCGACCTGATGAGACAATTCTTCGGAATTGAATTTAGGGCACAACACTTGGACTTTCGTATTTGCGAGGTAACGACGATCAACCCAATAGGTCGACCTAATGTGTTTCAAGGTCGACCGTTTCTATTTGTTTTGGTTGTTCAACCTGAATGTCGACTTTGGTTTTGTTTGTAAGACTATGTTGTGCTTCAAAAGATCGGCCGCTCAAGCTATCTGGTCGACCTATCCGTTTTTCGGTTTAATATTGCACTTGCTTTTGTTGGTTAATTGTTCTTTTCCTGTTGGATAGGTCGACCTAGGAAGATCAGAGGTCGACCTTAAAGGTTGTGGTAGTCACAATTTGTCTTTCAGGTCGACCTAATAATTTGTCAGGTTGACCGCATCTCTGTTTTTTTGTCAATTGTAGAAATTTGAAGTTGAATTATGATTTGAATTTTTCTTTAAATTGTTTAGACGATGACGCATGATGAGAGACTGCATCAAGATTTGGGTGAAATCATGAAAGTGTTGAAAGCCACACAAGAGCATCTAGTGGTGTGTCAAAAACAAGTCAATTACTTTCAGAAGTCCATTCGTGATAAAGTGGAGCAATTGTCAGTTCGATTGACATATATGACTGGGATGATGCATGATGGGTTTGAGAGGCTAGAAGGTGCTATCAAAGATATAAGTGGAGAACGAATGGAAAATGGAGGAAGAGATGGTACAGGAAAGAAATTTGACTTTGATAAAGAGGAGGAAGACCATGATGACTCTGCAAATTGCTACCAGAGCATAGACGATTTATTAAAAGAGTACAATTTAAAGGTAGACGAGTATATTCATATGTGATTGAAGATATTAGTATTACTATCATTAGTGCTAATTTGTTTTGTTTATATGCTTGACAGAGTGAAACAATGAATGGCAGCAAAGGTTCCTCTCCTAAGTACAAGAGACCTCGATATGAAAGTGACTCCTACACCACTCCACAGAAGGATCATGTTGTAAGAAAAGGATTATTTAGTGTTTGATAGCGACGAAGATGAATCTAAGAGTCCTTTCGAAAAGTGGAGGGCCTAGAAGGATTCACTAAAAATCTTCAAAATCCAGTTGAAGACTTGTATTATGTTGTTACTAAAGAGAAGGTTGGGGACGCGAATTGGGACAAGTAAGAATTTTTTTTAGTACGTGTGGTCGACCGATTAGTTAATGTGGTCGACCGTTTATC